AGCTGCTCTTTCCAGACAGATGCTGTCTCAGTAATCTCTATTTGCTGTCACACCTTAGTTTGCCCTTCTCACCCCATGATCTTCCGTGCTGGGCTGTGGACCAGTTGGATATACTTTTGCTTTCCCAACATTAATGGAAAGTGTCCACCTGCCCAAATCAAAGTAACTAACTGGATCCTAATGATAGATTTATCCTTATAACATCTTTAACTTCACATGCCAAGATGGGTTCTATAAAGAGAAGTTCCTGATAACATAAAAATACTGTGAGGAAAAAAAAAATAAACAAGCTGTTGTTCTCTCCCTACCCAATACAGGGGACCAGATGTACAATAAGATCCCATGTTCCATAATTATTTGACAAACAGAGAATACAAGACAATTAAAGAAATTTTCCATTTGCTACAATAACTATACTAAGAGGAAAGAGGAATGTAGTAAATGTTGTCTACTGAATGGCAGGTGGTGGATGAAAAATTAATAGTTTACCTTTGGTGGACAAAGAAATGGAAGTAAAGCAGAGTCTGACAAACCCAAAAGGTCATTTTCAGCTCAATTTCTTTCACATAGGAAAGCAATGSTGGTAACATTCAGAACTGGCTGTATTTCTCAAATATTTGTTCCTTTTTCTAGCTCTTCTTAGGGGATGAACAGGGTAGGCCCTAGCAAAATGAGCCATGATTTTAATTGCATAGCCTTTCTCTCTAAGAAGGGAAGCCTGGGTGTACCCTGGATTACCCAGGCCASACTCTGAGACTGCTTGTATCCACTTTTAGTGAGGTTTACATGTAAAATGGTTTTTAGGCAATATAACTACATGGCAGCTAGCCATGCTTTCTCTGTCACTCTATTTGAAGGATCTTGATAAACCTGCAGCTCAGAATGACTGAACAAGAGGGCAAAGAATTCCTCCAGATATCGTTCTCTCATCTGTTTCATACAGAGCCAAAGGACACCCCAGATGTAAGAGTCAGGAGATTATGCAACTACCCCCTTCTTTTACACTGCAGGACACCAGAGATCCAACCAAGATCACACASCTTATGGTAAAAATAGCAACCAATATGTCCCATCTAGGGTTCTTTCAAGTGCCACATAGTGGGAAGTAAAGGAAAGAAACTCCAGCTTAGCATGTCTAGCCCAGGGTCAAAAGTAAAGACTAAAAAGAACTGAGCAGACATTTTCTCCCGATCTCCTCACTCCAGCCAGGAACACATTAACAGACACTCCATTAAATAAATTCCTTCTTTACCCTAAAACAAACCAAATCTACCTGGCTTCCTAAAATATCTGCTGATGATTCTCATTTCAAAAGTTGATATGAGTGGCTGTCACATGGTATTATGGCTAGAATAATAGAACTGTTGTTTCTCTTCTCAAAACATGGACAAGTTTAAAAGAGAATACTGTTACTTGAGAAAGGTAACTAAATTATTCTAACTTTTCTATGTAACTCACTGAAAACAGTTCCTGAGTAGAAAGCAGCAGAGACAGGTGAGGGGCACCAGCACCATTCAGGTCACTGATTCCTCTGTAATCATCTAGAAAAGCGGGACTCTCCATAGACAGAAAAGTAAACACAAATACCTCCCCAAACATATAGGTCTCCTTCACAGACATTAAGAATAGCATAGATACAGTTCTCAATTGCTACCTTCTACGATCACAACTCCTGTTTAGAACAAGCCCTTACCACGAGGCACTGGGACCTCTCACCCCTATCACACCTGATTCCGGTCAGATTCACTCAAGGAGCAGTTCTTTTTACAGATGGGGTTGAATAAGCAAAGACCGGCTAACCAAACTCAGATTTGCTGTGATCAACAGCAGAATGACTTTCAATGGGAAAACGGTAAGAATAATATAACACTTGTATGCTAACAAAAGTAATGAAAATGGAAAGGACTTTATTTATAACAATTTTTTTCCTATGATTAAAAGGACACTAAATAATAATTGCTTCCAAACGTTTGGCTGCTATTAACACATCCATGCTAATAACTCTAGATTCTAAAAGAAAATTTGGAGGGATTTAGGAAAGGATTAAGATAATAAAATTCATTATTCTTTTTATATACAGATGGATTGAAAGATAAGAGTAAGCTGACAAACTGTARAAAATATTCACCTTAAAGTGATTTCTATTATAAAAATTCATTACATTCCTTAGTTTCTTATTTTAGGGCTAAAAAGTAATATGATACAAAGATGAAAAGTTATTCTTCCGTAATTTAAAGCAACATAACTACAAAATAGGGGCTCTTTTTCTATATCGTCTATTGGGCTTCATAATCACCATTATTTCATGCCACATTCCTGGAACTAAGCATTTCATCTGGCACATTACATGTGGGTAAATGTACCTTCCTTGGTCATAGTCAGGAAGAACACATTTTTAACCTAAGTGGAAACACAGTTTTCAGAAATGTGCATTAACTGATTTGTAACACAGGCACATACATCTGAATTTCTAATATACTCAATATTAAGAAGTGCAGCAAGAATTGCAGAACATAAACTTTAAGTTCAGAAATAAATTTCTGTGTTAATGCACAGGAAATTAAAATTAAGTGCTAAAGAAGGTAAAAGATGTGCCTGTGTGTGTCTGCAAATAAATATCCAAGTTATATTTGGTAAAACTCTGAGAAGCACTGCATAGTTAATGTAATGCATGACCTATATTTTGACTTGTAGTTTTTGCATTTCCTGGAAAGCAGTCTGCTTTTTAAGGACCTGGAACTTAAAAAAAGAATTACTGTTAGAAAGCCAGAAATTAAAAGCATGCACATGCGTATATTACAGTTTTTAAAATTTGAAATTATTGGCATCTCTATAATAGGCTACAACAATCTCAGAATCAGTATTAAAATAAATAAGCAAACCCACAATCAAAGAAAATTAATTAAAAAAACACACAATGCCAAGGAAAATGATCTATAAATTATCTTATTAAGAATCTAATCCTCAAATGATGTAATGACATAGAATGTATTCATGTAATTCCTTCAAATATTTAAAATGTTTTACTAACATATAACATTATGTATTATAATTGAATATTTCATATATGTCCTACGATTTTTATCACAGACCATACACATATGCTATCCAAGTATAAAAAAATCAATATAACATCATATATACAAGTATAACTTTACTTGACCAAAAGGAAATGGTAAATGTATTGTAGTATATATTTGTAAAGTAATAGCAAATTAACATAACATAAATATAAAATAAAATATAGTTTCAAAAAAATCGATCCTTACCATGGGTGATATACTCTGAGAACTGCAGCCACTTCTGCCTTGATACGGATGCATATAATTCTGGTACAGCTGCATGCCATACTGCAAAATAAATAAACAAAAACATAATGCTACAACTTTTACTTTACTACACTGGTAATTCAATTAAAATATTCTTTCATTAATCATATGTTATCAGTATAAAAAATAATTTTTTGATTTTCCTTCAAACAGATAAGTAAAGCAACCAAAATTTTGACAGAAAATCTTTTAATGCCCTTCAACGATGCATTTAAAAAGATATGTTTTTTAATTTGTTTGTTTTACTGAGGCTCCCAAATTAAGGTCTTGCTCACCAGTATTACTTTATACTGGTATTACTTTATACTGAGACTTACATTTCTACTTACATACTTACATACTTTGCAGCAAAATCATTTGGACTGGTACCTTGTCTCATGAAAAGAAAGCTCACTTGGGAAAGGYGTCATGCTGTACATTCCAAAGATTTAACAAACCTCACAAATGTCCTAAGCAACACTGTAAAATTCACTGTCGTTCTGATGACTGATGAATTAATTTGTCCCTTTGGTAAAACTATAAATTGGGCCCTATCTGGAAAATTCTTGGCTCTATATCATTCTTGGTTAAATATTCTTATAACCAAGAATAATTATTCTCATAATAATTTTGGGTTTCACGTTCAGAAAACCAAAACAGTGAGGAGTCCAGCTGATTTCAGAGTTTCAAAATACAATGTAGCAGATTAGAAATGTGGGGTCTTCACTTTTAGGAGGCAGCATCTTACAGACTGAGCCAGCTGGCCATAATGGGAAAGTAGGTCTGAATTCTAATGGGATTATTAGTTTGAGACAAATTAAGACTGCTAACTGCCATGATCAAACTTGTCCTGAGGAATCCTCATCTGAATCTGGAAATTACTCCTTTTGATTTAAGCTCTTTTGTTGAGGTGGGGGAGCAATTATATTGGCAGCTTTTAAATTATTTATATTTATATATTTACATTTGGCTACACTCCACAATTCTTTCCATTTCATGAAGACATAATGAACTTCATGTTAGGTCTCAGTGGCCCTGTTCCATCTACTGCCTCCACCTTCGTGGTACTGGCATTTGGCAGGGTGGTCACTGTGTTCTGTCACCTCAAGGCCCCAGCAGCACCTGAGCCAGCAGGTGCTGGGTCTTAAATGGGCCTGAGAGTGGAAGCAGATTTGGAAGGTTAGGAGGATGACTTTGATGAAGAATGTGCTGCCACTGATTCCATGTTGGCCCTGATGAACTATCTTTACCACCTGGAGGACAATGACCATCTTCATGCCTGCCTCCAGGGCTGCCAGAATCCAGCTGATAAGTAAGACTACAATTCAGTGGCAGGTCTAAAAGGCCCCTAAAGGTGCCAGCCCTTAGGTTCTTCAAAACCCCAACCAGCCACAACACTGCTTCCCGGGGTCAGGCTCTAGCCTAGGCACCACCACCTAGCTCAAGGTTTCCTGGTGGGTTTTCCTGCCCATGCCACCCTTCTGGCACCTCCCTTTGGTCCACCTGGGCCAGCCCCTACTGACCTGCATCCCCTCTGGCACCAGTTATGCGTCTGTGACCCACATATCTGTCTACACAACTTATGAGCAACACTTACTCTGCCCAGTACTTGAGTGTCTACCTTAAATGGGCTTCCTTCATGCACCCACACACKTGCACAGACACACACACTCACAGACATGCATGAGTGCACACACACACACACACACACACACACAAAGAGTACTATATAGAAAATATTGAACGATACCATGAAATCAAATCTTACCCACAGGATAAATTCCATAGAAACAGTTCAACAGTGCTATTTCTCTACTAGTTCCTTGATACCAATTCTAGCAAAGTGGATTTATTTGGTAATTAGGAAAACAAACAAACAAACAAAAATTGGGAGGAGGGGATTAAGAGAATCATTATTTCAAGATTTTGCTTCTAACATGAATACAAACCCACATTCATTTAAAATTCCCTGTGCTTACTTCTTTATCCAATTACTTCCCAACTTCTAAAAATTATTTTTTAATTCAAGGTTTGAATGACATTAATGGGACCTAATGAAATTCACTTTAAATCAACTCTAAGCCTACAATAACTTTAAGAAGAAGACAGAAGAGCTTAATTCCTAGTCAAGTTCATTATGAAGTATAGATAATCACCTCAAACCAGCACTTTCACAAGGAACATGATGATTGGCCACCTTCTTCATTGAAAAACCTGCTACCTACWAATAAGATGGTTATCTTCCTAGATGTATTGTTCCTGACACCTGCAGGGTTAGGTAGGTACCTAGGTGCCATTGAAGACCTTTAGTAGGCATTTAACTCTTGTCAAGGGTAGTCATGGGCCAACTTTAACATTTCTCTGTCCTATGGAGGGACAGATAAAAGAATGAAATACCACAACAGAGAAGCTGTCAGAGTTCTAACTGAAGAAAGAGAAAGAGAGAATATGTAACTGGGATACTCTGTGTGAGCAATCCACTTTTCTAAGTCTTTGATGTTCTACAATTCTATATGTAACTAGAATTTCTCCAAAGAGAGGGCCTGATCTGTTAATATTCAAATGTATGACAGACTATGTCACTTTCATGTCTGGTTTCTCATTGGCTACAGGTTAAAGGTACTCCTGGATTGTTCGCCTCCTTTTCTGGCATCATCTGGAAAAGTTTTGTCATTGAAATAAACAGGGAACACTGATATGATACATAGAATAACCATCCCAGAAATATGTCCACATCATAACCCTGGAACCTGTGAATATGTTAGGCTACATGCTAAAAGGAAACTGAGGTTGCTAGCCAGCTGACTGTGGGATGAGGATGATCCTGGCTTCTCCACGTGCACCCAATGCAATCACCTGGAGCTTAAAAGTGGAAGGGAAAGGCAGAAGGGACAGAGCTAGGGAGTTGGTAGCATGAGAAGGACTTGGTGTGATACTACTGTCTTTGAAAGTGGAGGAATAGCCACCAGCCAAGGTGTATGTGTGGCCTCACAAGGCTGGAAAGGACAAGGGAAGTGGTTTCTCCCCTGAAGACTCCAAAGGGCAAGCAGCCCTGCCAAGCCTTGACTGTGACCCAGTAAGACTCATTCTGGACTTGAACTAAAAGAGTACAGTATAGCTGGGAGGAGTGTCACATGCCTACAATCCCAGTAACTCCGGAGGCTGAGACAAGAGGATCACAAGTTTGAGGCCAGCCTGAGCAACAGGGGTATAGCTTAGTGGTAGATTGCCGAGTTAATTCCCCAGTACTGTCAAAAAGAAAAAAAGAAAAAGAAAAAAAGAATATAGGATAATAAGTTTGTGTTATTTTAAGTCTCTAAATTGGRGGTAATTTACTATACCAGCTATAGAAATCTAACACAATGAAGCATCTTTGAACTGGAAATCTGACTTGAAAGGGTCTTTGAGAATAATCAGATGAGGGGAAAAAGCAAGAAGGGAACAATTTTCCAGAAACTAAGCATCGCCAAGATGGAAGAATTAAAGGAAATTTTTGGCATATTTCATTGATTCTTGCAATTGCATTTCAAAATACAACATTTGTCTCTTCAAAATGGCACAGAGCCAGACATTGTATGGAAAGTAACAGGTATCCATGACTCTGAGATGAAAATGATTCAGGAAAGCCAGACTYGGAACAGGAAGAAGTTTTACAGAGATCTTGACTAATTTATTTCATTTAT